GAAGAACAGAATGATGGGGACTAAATCCTACCTCAGCAGTGAACTGACTCCTTGGAGTGTGAAAAAGTACTCACTCAGGTCCTTCTGCCTTGACATGTAGACAGCTAGGGATGATACATAGCCTAATCATGGCCAGGGAGCAAGTCAGACAGCAGAGTGGCTCTACAGACACTATCCAAACAAGAGACACTTCAATGGCCTATGTTTTGCTTTTGGTAAGTGGTCAGGGCTGTCTCTCTCACCAAATCAAGGCAGCCCAAATGTGGTTCCTCTGGGAACTTTAATGTTTTACTGAATCACTTAGTTTCTTTTGATGACAGCTGCTTTGGAGTCTCAGTTGCTGGATCCCAGTGGGGATTTTGTTGATAGGGGTTTATTGACTTCTTGTTACCTTGAAGTTACTGCAGTGGTGGGAGTCACAGGTAACTCCTGGAGTCTGTTTATTTTATGGGTTTGATTTTTAAGAGTTTGCCAGTGGTACCCTGAGAAGCCACTTGTTTATTTAGCAATGCACTCACATACTGATCCATAAATAAAACTAGTGTGTTATCTAATAAGACTCAACAGAGGGTCAACCCTGGCTCATTGGTAAACCAATCAATCCAGAGTGCAAAAAGCACCCCTCAGGAAACTTGTCATGGCTATCTGGGGAGGGGTGAGCCAAACATCAGTGTAATTTTGTACTCCAGTGGGTTTCCAGGAGTATACATGCCCGTACCTTTTGAAAGGAAAATGCTTAAAGGTGGCATAATTTCCAGCAACCTTCACTTTGGTCCTTAGTAGAGGTTTTCAGAGTTGTAAGATTTCTTCAGCTGGGGCTGAGCATCAAAGCTCCTCATCTGTGGGAGAAAGAACAGACTTGAATGCACTGGAGACTGGTCTCTCAGTAGGGTCTATGAATTCCTCAAACTGGAATTCATCCTACCTCACTTAAACACCTAAAAATTACTTGTCTGAGCCTGAAACGGTCATGTAGGGTCCTTCTACAGTTGAGATTATGGGATAACCATCACAGAGGGAAGAAGCTTTCTGGAAGGAGCTGATGTCTCCTTAGTGGTGATCATGGAAAGTCTTGACAATTACCTTAACCTCAGACAAGTATCTCTTAGATGTACAGATTAGGTGAGAAGCATGTCTTGTGTCCCCTGTGATCATGTGCAGCCATAGAGAAGTGAGACACAAAATCATTTGGACATCTTACCTGATCCTGTGTGCCACATTACAAAATCCTCCCATGACTGAGAGGCTTAAGATATAAGCAACAATCAAAGAGGGTGGGGCAGATCTGAGTGGGTTTTACAAGTGAGACATGCCAGGTGTCACCCAAGGGATCCTGCTATTGAGTCCTGGGATAGAGCCAGGTTGAGCAGATGACATCCAATGCTGATCCAGCAACAGTTCCCTTGCAAACTGGTGCTGGACATTTCTTTGCGTGGCTGGGTATCCAGATTACAGAGCAGCTGCTGTTCCACTGCAGTAGATGCCTTGAGAAAAGGTGGCAAGCCACACATATTCCAAGTACCACAGGTCACCTTGGCCAATACAAGCAGCATATATTCCACATCACATGTATGTGTATACATCTGTGAAACTGTTAATCATATGTGAACACAAAGAGAGAAATCTTCCAAACAAAGATTTTGAAGCTAGAGCTGTGATTTTTGATTTTTCTGGAGTTGATGATGCTCTATGTTTGCTATTCTATTACTGGAGGAGGGTGGGAGGACTTCCATGCTGGAGCATTTCCCCAGCAGCAGTGGCAGCGGGAACTGAAGTTGCTACCAGCAGGCTGTATGTGTACATAGAAGGCTGCTCAGAAAATGTTGCATACTACTTTGTGGAGGCTTATCAGCACTTGTGGCATGTACCACAGTTTGGGAATCTCTGCTACAGATCTGGAAGAGACAGTCTCTGAATCAGGATTTTACATTCACAGATCACTGTCAGAAGTTAGGGAGAGGGGAACAATTAGTCATAACATACCAACAAATCAGTTCAAGTCACTGTAAAGTGGCACGACTGAATGTAGCTATCAGAAGGACTTCTCTATTGCTCGGATCTTAATATATGTATTTAGAATGAGATGAATGCATGGGCCATGAATGTCTCCTGCATGGGCCGTTTTTTCTCCACTACCTGCAAAGAGAGGCTATACAATTATCTTACATGAGACATCTATATTTAAGTGTTTCAAATCAAGTGAGATTATTTGTACTTAAGATGTCTACATCTCCCTGAGGGATTTACAAAGACATGCTGATGCCAAAATTTGATTGAATTGGCCAAATGCTTTAGAAATCCCTCTAGATGCCAACCTCCACTGACAGGCACTTAAATGCTTTCAAATTTGGTCTCCTAGATAATTCTGAAAATGTAGTCATGTGTGAAGCTGAGGTTCCTACAAGCCAAACCTTCAGAGACTTACAGGCATGTAAAGACACCAATACGTATCTGCTAAGCCACAAGCACACTTACAGGACTTCTACAACTTCAAATGCCTCTAAAATCCTTAGCTTCAAGAGCCTCAAAATAATGCAACAGGTTAAAATGCTTTTAAATTCAACATCTTTTGAAAGAGAGCTACAGGGAAGAGGGTCTTTCCACCAGTTTTCTGTCTTTTTGCACACACCAGCACTTAGTGCTTTGAAAGGAACAGAAGCTGTATGTTCATGAGCACAATGTTCAGCTTGAGCCCTCTCTTTGCAGGACATATTGGGTTGGCCTAATAAGCAAGCTAACCACAACCATGCTGTTTCAATCTGCTCCAAGCACAATCAGAATAAGTTTATGTCTGCCTACAAAACACTCTAGTTCCTGTCATGGCCTCATTTGTGGAGGTGTTAATCACCCACAGCTACCACTTAGGTAAAGCTGTAATGTGAGCCAGATCACACTTCTGTGCCTCAGTTTCCTTATCCAGAACACAAGGATAATGCATGCTTCAAGGTTTAGGGATGTATAGTATTGTACAGATATTGTCATTTATGGTGATGATAAGAATGTGAGCTTTGTTTGGAACAAAAGTCTGGGAACGCCTACTTGACATCAATTGAAAAAGACAGGTATTAACCTGTATGTTTGAAATACAGCCTGTTGTTATTGCTCTCAGATAAACAGAATTACCTCCTCTTAAGATCAAAGGTAATCTGTTTTACTTCAGTGAGATGTGGTGATGTCCACAGAGAACAAATCATTTTTAGCAAGTGGAGGAGGGATTTTCTTGGCAAGTTGGGAGAAGCATCACAGGAAGAGAAAAGGAATGCAACGCAACTGGTTTTAATCACACGTAACAGTCAAGTTCCTCTGGACAGGCCTACTGTCTGATATGTCATTGTAAATGCCCTGGGGAGCCTGGACTAAGGGAATGGAAAAACAGGTGAATGGCATGAAGGTACTCAGGACACTCAGTGGAACAATTGGCAAAGCTTTTGTCAGTTGGCATTATGCAGTGATACAGTGCTCCCATTAATATAGTGCCCTGGGACCATGACTTTGATTTTTAATGGGTGCTTGGTTATCCAAGTCCATGCCTCAGATCACACTGCACTTCTGTTTGACATTAACAATGAAGATGCTGATTTGGTTATAACAAGGATGTATTTTCATTCCCACTGTACAACCACCAAGGAGAAGAGAGACTCTCATGTTTCAAGCCAGTTCAGCTCTGAGGTGGTCCGAATTGCTTTGGAGGTACCAGTTTCTTCTCCTTGCTGTCAAAGAGCCTAAGGTGGCTGCCCCCTAGACCAGGCACACTGCAGGCTGCCTGCATGGGTGGGATACATCTGGAGAAAAAGAGCTTGGGCAAATAATTCTTGACAGTACTGTTCCTCTTGAAATGACTGTTTCCTCTGGAAACTAATGACTTGTTTTGCTATATTTGGGTGCAGCAAAGGTACTGATTTTATTAGCACATTCTGTAGGAAACAAATGTTGTACTTCAACTACTGCAATACCATATAATGTATTATCATCTTACATAAAATGTCAGTTTAGGCTAGATTATATAAACATCCAAACAAGAAAGTCAAATGAAAATTGATATGATCAATTTGGTATTTCTGAAGCAAAATATTTTAGAACACCTGTTCAGCAATATGTCTAAAAATGATGACTTCCAATCAGGAATGAGAGGACATTGGTAACATCTGAGTTGCTTTTGGAACCCGAACAGCATGAACTTTGATGGTTGCAGGATGCACAGTTGGAATCACTGTTCAGCCTGCTGTAATAATCACTTTGTTATGTTTCATTTGGGTTGCAGTAGCATTTGGGGGTCTACTGTCAGGATATGAGGATCTCTTTTGCAAGGAACATCACATTCATATAATAAAGGCCTTCAGTCAAACAGGATAGATGCACTGGACCTAACACAGGAAAACTGAGCATTACCAAGAGTTTTGGTGCAGAAGCAGGCTTTTCTGCACTTTGGCTGAGGATTTACTTGAGCAGTGGTTGCCCGGGAGAAACTTCTGATTGAAGGAGTAATTACGTATTTTACTAATTACCTGTCAGTGGTGAATGAGGACTTGAGCTTGGAGGACCCTAAGTGTTCTGTGAACCTTCCTTCAGCCAGGGTCTCAATCTTGGATTAAATTTCTGGTACTTGAGATTGGGAACATCCTAAATGAGCACCAAACAAATGGGATTCAGACTCCCACTGCAACCTGATCAGCTAAAGACTTCTTTAAGTGCATAGTTTAAATAACCTGGAAGTTGAGGCAGAGCAACTGAGTTGATTATCCAGTCTTTGAACATGAAAGATCAACTGATATATACATGATTTCTAAGCAAGATCCTCTCCCTGAAATCTGTGATACATTATCATTATTACTGTTATTATGTACTATGGTAAAGTCCAGAAAGCCCTGATTTTTTAAGCCAAGCATGACACTTACCCAACATCTAAGGGTGGCCTACACTGGTTGACTAGGAGTTCTTCAATGAAAAATGTATCTTGGAAAAGTGGGAAACAAAATATTATTCAGTTTGCAGCAATCTCATGCATGTAAGCCCCGGAGGGCTGGTGTGTCTTTACTTTTGAGGTTCATCATGTCACCAGAAAAGCTTTAATATTTTACTGTGGAAGCAACGTAGCCATGAAACATTAATTTCCAGGAATGTGGGAACCATGAAATATGTGTTTTTCTAGTAAATTGCCACTTTATTTGTCTCTGTTCTCACACAGTTAAGGGAACCAATTTTCATTATATGCTTAAATATATGTATTTTGGAAATACGCATAGGAAAGATGTACAAAACACAGGAAGACCATTTTTGCCTTGAAAACTGTATTTCACTGATAACAGTACCAGTCATTTATATTCTACGTTTCATCCTAAACCCTTTTACATTCCTATATTCATCTTGGAACCGTATCTCTCTTGACAGAACGGCACCCACACTGGTGTGTAAGTGAACATCTGATATATTCTGCCCTCTGAGATGTGGCAGCTGTTTAAATTTGCATAAAATTGTTTACTTCCTACTTCCACAATGCCATTCTCTCACCATTGTAGTGATCAACATCATTCAGACATGCCTGACACAGGCACGATTGTACTATGATCTCCAGCAATCCCCAAGTATTCTGTACCATGACAGATGACTCTGGCTGCAATAAAAAATTATTAAGGGCAAATTAATTTGTAATCCATGTAAAGGCCTTTTAAATATTCTCCTGCTATTGCTAACCAGTGTTACTAACTATAGGACTGATTCCTCTTTCCTGTAAACCAAATGACTGGATTTCCTTCAAATATCTGCACATACTCAAATGTACACAAAGACCACACCAGATTTTAGCAGCCTCAGCAGAATAAAAGTATTACAGTAGCTTAAAGGGAATTTGAAGTACTTAGTTCTGGGGACAATTCCAGAATGTAAGTGTTCACCTAAGGTTTTTATCAATGTTAAATACTAAATTTACATCCATTACCAGTTGATTAGAATGGAAAGATTAGACAAAACATTCCAGACACATCTGTGTCATGGGAACTATAGGTTTCATGGTTATATGACACACCAGAATATTCACCAAATCACTAGGGTTGTCTTCCTTAATGCTACAATTAGTGATGCCACATTAAGAGGACAATCACTGGATAAGATTTGATGGCAGGAAGCCCTCTGCCATAAACTGGAAATTCTCAACATATGCAACCATACTGCTAGAGAAGATGAGTTATGCAATTAAAACCAAAACTGGAGATTTGTTATCAAAGGATGGCAGAGTGTTCAAAATCCAGCTGAGAGGTTCCTTGATCTCGTTATCTTCAAGCTTCTACGTGAATTAATCTAACACAGATGACAATATTTAAGACAGACATCTGTGCCTACAGTCATGTGGAGGATGTTTTATAGAACCCCTTTCCATCAGAACGTGGAGGTTTGTCATAATGCAACACATAAAGGCTGGTTAGTTTTGCCAGAATAGCATTTCAGGAAAATAAAACATGATAAAAATTCTGACAGAGTCAAAAAAGTCTATTCTAATGTCATAATTCAATTTCCAGAATTTTGAACAAGCCATATTTAATTTGTTTTTTACTGCATTTAATGACATTTAAAGTGCAAATTATTTTAAAAGCCCAATTCAAGATAAACATTTGATTTTGTCTGAATGGAAAAGTCTGCGGTTGTGTGGTTTTCCTTCAAAATTCTCCCTTCTTGTCCCCACTCAGAATGAAGCAGAATTTCAAATTCCGATTTTATTTGCAAGATGAACTTCTGCCCTCCCACAGCACTTTCTGTGCCTCTATGAGAAGGATGAGAAGCTTAATGTGTAATTTCTGTGAACCATAAGGAGATAGTATTTGTGTTAGTATTTTCAAATCCAGGCTTCTAGAGCTGCTGTTTGAATATAAATCATAGATGTTTCTGGGTTACACTAACACCCTCTGCAGTTTAGTAGAGTTGTTAATTAATACAATACTGTATTAGTTATTCTTACAGTCTTACTAGTAACGCCCCATGAAATCCCGTTAGCTGCATATGGTGCCAGACTTGTTCTGAATGTGGGAAAGCAAGAAATTTACAGTGGTATGTATAATACAGAGAAGCTTTCAAGTGGTTTCCACTGTGAACATTTTGAAAAAATATTTTCCAGAATGTAATTTGTGGGAAAATCTTTTCACAAAATTTCAATGCAAACATGCATATATTTGTCATCTAAGTTTTATCCTGGAGTGTAAAAACCGTTATGCGCCACTATTGTTCTATGGCAGAAACCTCAGGAAAATAAAGTAGTTCCTAAATGGAACTAAAATGGAAAATTAATCAGGTTAATGGAAAATTAGCCAGGCTGTCCTATTGTCCAAACTGACAGAAATGCAAAAAATCAACCAAACAAAACTCCCCCCAAATGGATAGCTGATGCCAACAAATGGATAAAACTTTTCTTATATTTTTTGTCTAAATAATTTAGAGATAGTGATGATAGTCAAAATTTGGATTAGGTTTTCCAGAAGTATTTGAATTTCTTGCTTCAGTGATCTGATAGATCCTTCTTAAACTCCAAGAAGATTAAAATGCCATAGTAAAAATCAGGCTCATTTGTTAACACCTCATACAGAACACTCCAAAAGGCATTAGCCACTACAGAGACTTCAGACCTAATTCTTTTCAATTCATTTTGTCCAGTATTAACTTCTTAATGAAAGAAAGATCTGACAAGAAGCTCTTAGAAAGGCTTTTAAAAATGGAGAGAATGATGAAGGAGACAGGATTTAGAAGTAGACTATTTGCTGGAGAAGCTGGCTCAATTGTAATTCTCTCCTGACCCTTTAAGAGTTGCTGCTATAGAGTTGTAGTAGTAGCAATGCGTGGTTAGGTGGTTTCTAGCAGATGCTTTTCTCCTTCCCAGTCCTGTGGTTCATCCATAGTCCAGTCTCTGCAGTCTCACTATGCAATCAGGAATGGCCAGGGCCTTTCTGCATGGCCAGCATCCAGACAGGGACACACTGCTCAGGGAATCCCTCCTGCCTCTCCTCTTGCAGGATGGTGAGTCCACTCATTTCAATGAGGCTGTGGAGGATGTTCAGGTCTCGGATCACACTACTATCCAGACAGTCCAGGATACAGCCCTCCCTGGCTACATTGTCCTTGAGAATGATAACACCATTATCCTTCAAGCCATTCTGGCACCGGATAAGAAACTCCAGGAGATCTTTATCTGTCAGATATCCTACAGATAAAAGATGGAACATAGATCACTATTAACCATTTAAATTCCCAGTTTACATATCAGAATGATGCCTTATTCTGAGTCTCCATACCCTGTTTATTGCAAGAGAAATTCTAGTCCTGACAGATTTAATTATGAAATCTTGGGCAAATTAATGAGATCAACCATTAAAAGCTCAAACCAGCATTTAGGATCCATATTAGTAGTAGCACCAGATGTGGACAGAAGTCAAGCGGAATAGTGGAGAAAATACTGTGTGCTGAACGGTTCTTTAATCCAGTGGTTAAAGTCATAATAAGAATCAGTGGCAGGAAGCTGGAACCAAAGAAATTCATACTGGAAATAAGTGACAACTGTTTGACAGTGTAAGTAATTACCCATTGGAAACTACCAACAGAAGTGATGTTTACCACTTCTTGAAGTCCTCAAATCAAGCGTGGCTGAATTTCTCAATACGTGTTTTAATTGAACACAAACTACTGGGCTCAGTACAAGGGTGAAGGAATGACTATAACCACTTGTGATACAGAGTAGGTCCAACTAGATAATGTAACAATCCCTTCTGTCTTTTAATGCTACAAATCTCTATAACTTTGTGTAACATTATGTATTCAAAGGAGTTCTTGATCAAAGATCCAATGTGGAATCCAAATGGCCAAATAAACTCTTTATATTACCCTCTACTGTTGTGATTTCTGCATATACCATATACACTTAAAAATAATAAATTTTTCAGTATGTTATTGGGATTGTGGTTTTTATCTTTCCTGCCCAAAGATCAAAAGTTCTGTTACATTGAGAACAGTAGTGCAGGGCTCTGAGAAAAGCAAAATGAGAACTCTCACATGTGAAACATCTAAAACGAATTGACAAGGACAGGTGGTCAGAAACGGAATGATTTTTTGATTTTTTTTTTTTTAAAGTAATTGTTTGCATTTTCTAGTCAAAATATTTAGGTCTCTTGATGGAAGATTTAAACTTTTATAAATGGAAGTCGTCATTTCAAAACCACATTTTGACATAGCATGTCAAGTTTCTTTAACCACCCACCCCAAAAAAAAGAAGAAATCCCCAAAGCCTAAAACTGAATACCTTTCAAGCTAAAGGAAAATAGTGATTTCTGTATGAAATGTAAACCTGCATTCTTATTTTTTCATAAAATAACAGCCGGGGCTCAAAAACTTATTCATACATAAGATAAATCAAGATTGCATCAGCAATATTCATTGAAGTTCTTGTACACCTAATTTGGAACTTAATGTTCTCTTAACTTAGCTTTTAGCCTGCTTTCCTAACAAAATGAGATCTTCATGGTGCTGCTCTCTACAAGACAGTCCTGCCCTTGCCCCACCAGAAAGCATTGAGCTTGTTGGCATATTCCAGCCAAATTCAAGATAGAGGTAGAAGTTTAATTAATATTTAGATCACTACGTATTTCACTGAAATTGATGGAGGAAGCAGATTCAGATCTATTTCTATGCTAAAGAAAAGGCGTATGCTCCCTTTGGTAGCAGCTGCATAGCTGATAAGCACAGCCTCAGACAAGTCTTGGCTCATGTTGACTTGGATTTGCTCAAAATATAAGGCAGGAGCTACATTTACTGCAGTGATTGGTTATTCAAGAAAAGCAAAAATACAAAGGAAAATGATACTGTTCTGAAGCAACTACAGCTATGAAGACCTGTTCTAAGAATCTCAGTTTCATTACTTTTTAAGACGATGTGCAGAGGACAAGAAAGTGTTCTTGAATAAAAGATAAATACCTCCTTCTATGCGAATCTCTCAATTTTTTTTTTATTTTTTTTTTTTTTGCCCAGCAAGAAACTTTCTCCAGGCTTTTAGAAGAGACGGAGCTGTTTGGGCCTCCTCTTACACTTCAGAATAATGACTTCTTGCCAGCTGAAACTCCACCGTGGACACTTAGGTTCACATATTAAGAGAAAACCTTCTTTTTGGAAGGACAGCTAGGTACTGCTGCAGGTTTTCTAGAAAAAATTGGGAGTGGTTGTGTTGGCTTAGAAGCAGATACTTCTCATATGAGGGGTACTGTGACACAGAGCTAAGTAAACCTGTTTGATAAGCATCAATGCATGTATAAGACATGATCTTGTTTATAGATATTGGTGATTTTAACTGTGTCTTTTTTCAGATTGTTTCCTGAAATACCCCCAAGACATCAGACTATGAAATCCCTGTTGGTGAGACCAACTCCATGTTGGCAGCACTGGCAACAAAGAAGGGGCATTCCTGCTCAAGAAAACCCACAGGTAAGGCCTATTCCTCAGATGTACCTTAGCATGCAGGCTGCTTGCCAAGAGCATGTACGTTCCTCCAGTAAGTGACCTTAAGAAAACCAACTTGATTTGTACAAACTGTGCATGTGGCTGGGGAGAGCTCTCAGGAGTCTCTGTGAGTTTTAGGAAGCAGTCCCAAAGAACTGAATCTCCTTTTACTGCTGCATCATTCTTTTAACTTACACTTTAGCACAGGCTGTACAGTTCTCTCAGATGCTGGGCTGGATGAATCATGCTGAACTAACCTGAAACCCACTGAATCCAGATGACATCATATCTTTGTGGGGCTGGAGTGAATTCCTGGAGGCTTTTGCAGTAATACATCTCTACTCTGTCCTCCTTGCCCTGCAAGTAGTTCGGGACCTCAGCCAGAAAATTCTCCATCATATCCACCAATTCCACACTCTTAAAAACTGGTAACAGGACATGCTTGCTGATACGACCTATTCCAGAGCCACAGTCCAGGGCGCGGTTGGTGCCAGCTTTCCCCACCCCCTGTGGGATACAAGAAAATCAGTTGAAATCTGAAAAATACCACGTGAAAGATCATAGAAACTATGTTAACTGCTATGGCCTTTAGTACACCAAGCCTAGTGTCTTGTTTCCTTATTTGGGCAGAGCTGTTGCAAGACTGAGAAAAACCTGGGACAGTAACAATACAGCTTTGGGTACCTATGTTTGAATCAAACTGGGCTGCTATGTGCTCCAGGCTGCTGTTGATGGGACTTCCTCACTACAGCCATACATTTATTACTGCACAATAAGATTTTACTTGGTATAAGAAATGACACAATCTGTCACAAACTCCTAGCTTTCTCAGAAGATCCACTGGTATTTGTACAGTCCTTGCAACTTTATCTATCAAATATTCACACCTCACAATCAAATACATGGCCAGATAAGCCTCATTTTGAGCCCTGTAAAGGCCTAACAAAAAAGTAAGCATATACCAGATACTGCATGCAAGAAGTAATTTCTGCAGCAAAGAACTCCCGAGGTACCCATGGACATTGCTGCAGATTCACAGCATCCTTGTGACCAGAGTGCAGTTTTCAAAATAAGCTGTGTTTGAATGAAGATGTTGAAGTTGTAGGTAAGTTATTACAACTCAGAAAGTTTGGACTGGAGCATATACAGAATTTCTTTCTTAAGCATAGAGACAAGAAAGATGATTGAACATAACTGTTCTTTTTTTCTTCATAAATACAATCTCTGGACAGAGATCAGGCATGAAAAAAATGTGGCATAAAGGCTATGTCTATGAAAAAATAATGAGTCACTGTAAAAAGATCTTTATAATGACAGCTGTATTTCACCCCTAAGGCTTCCATTCTAGCTATAAAAAGTCTCTTAAGAGCCTGCTGAGGTTCCTTAAAGCAAAAATTTTAAGTCTGTACACGCACTGATTGTGGGATTGGAGCTCCCCTGGCCAACGTTATCTGTTAAACAAATATATTAAAAGCAAATGTAAACACCTTTTCCCTGTCCCCTGGAACTGAGTGTTGAAGTGAAAGCTATGGGCCAAAGTCCCTGCTGCAACTCTACTGCTCTTAAAGGAAATAAGCTTAGGTAGAGTCTTGCTCTTCCTGTTTACTGGGAGACCTCCTCTCTGATGATCAAGCATAAATCATGTAACTCACCACGGTTTTTGGCCTTGCTTCACTGTATAATTCAGTAGATTATTAAGGTCAAAGGACAGTACCATCAATGACATGACTATGAATAGCCTGGCTGAGCATCTGATTACATAAAGTAACTGTAGAAAGAGCACAAGGACCTCAAAGGCTTTCACCAATCTCTAGGGCTGCTGGTCCCAATTTGTATACCTAGGAAGATTAATCTCCTGATGCGGAAGAGTCCTTAAGACCTTAACCCTGCTGGATTCTGGAGACTACCTGTTTGCAGTTAGCCAGAAAATGTGAGCCATTCTTCATTCATAGGCTGCACTTAGAAGCATGTGGTTTTTACTGATGACCAGTAAGTTACTAAGCTGTAACAAGGATTTTATGAAAGGAGAAGGAACTGTGTCGGGATCATTTGGATTTCCTTATTGTTTGCTGGCAGATACATACAGGCCTACACTGATGTGATGAAGTAAAAATCTTTGAGAAAGCTGGTGAGAAGACTGAGTTGATCTACCAAAACAATTAACAGAATTAAACAAAAAGCCACAGAACTTCTTTGACATTTGTGTTTCAGAGAACCTATAGTCACAGTACCTCACTCAAAACAGGGAATTCATCTCCCATGATGCGTCACATCAAGGACCTCTGATAACACATCTCCATTTGCCATGGAGGAGGAGGAAAAGGAACAATCATGGGAGATGAAGCTTGATTCCACACTTTGCTGAAAGGGAGCAAGAGCATCAGGCAGTCAGTTGAGAAGCCCTGTGAAGCACTACAGCTCTGTAATGAAAATGTTGACACAAGTCCATGTTCACATTCCCGGTTTGAAAGTGCTCAGAGCTTTGACAGGGTATTAAAATTTTCTTTGGAAGGCAATCATATTCTCAAAAGCCTAATTGAGCTGAAAATCAGACTCCTTATTTTAAAAAACAGTGTAAGTAAAAATTTAAGCCAGAACAGGCTTCAAAATTTAACATTGACTGCTCCTCTGATTACCTGCTTCCCATTACTCAGAATCACTAGCATTTAGGACACATACACACTCAAAAATTCTTCTGTATGCTTAAATAGGGCACTCACAAATTTCCTTAGGGATAAGAGAGCTGCAGAATATGTTCCTGATGCTACTTCAAGTCTTGGAAGGGCATGAAGGCAGTGTAGATATTCAGGATAAAAAATAAATCAGAGTTCAAGAAATCAATAAAAATCACAGTGGTTTTCCTTCTATTAAAAAAAATTTAAAAATCAGGTTTTCAACAACATCTCTTCCATCTCCCTGATCAAACAGGAGAAAATCACTCTCAAGAAGCTTTTCATTCAGTAAGTAACCAATCAGGCAGGTGAACTGAGGGCAGAAAGGGAGAAAGGGTTTAGGGCAGAAACAGAGCTATAAAGTTAATATAATCTGTATTATTTCACAAACCTACAGCTCACAACTGTTTCTGAATTAATGGTTTCTTTGTTTTCTTTATTTCCTTTTTTACACATTACCTCTGGATTAGGCACTTGAAAACACACTATGTGGATATCAAGGCTTTAACTGGAATGGACACATTGCCATAAATATGCAATGTTCATTGCATAATATTTATCTGCTGATAACCCTTCAAGTATGTCTGTACCTAAGACAGCCTATAGCTTGTCTGTACAGCACTGCTAGCTCAAGTAATGTTGCTCTTGGTTTGAGTTCTGCCCACACACACATAAAACCTCTTAGCTTGAGCACAGTGGCACTTTTAACTCAGTTTGACTTGCCTGGGAAGGAGACAGGCTAAAATACAAGTCCTCTCCAATCCTACAATCAGAGCATGTGAAGTCCTTAGTCCCCTCTGTAGTTCCTTCCATGTACCTATGCAAGATAAATTCTCCAATCATAAAGAAATCTGTAGCTCAATTTACAGTGGTGCTAAGAAATCATGATAAGAAATTCCACACCTGAAGGTATGCAACATCAGTCATGTAAGGGAAATGTCACTGTGTGGCATTTCCATACCAGCCAAACTCAAGACGGGTAATTTGAGTGGAACTGGGCAACCGTTTTTCAAGGAGCACTAATTTTGCCAGAAAATCGAGTTTTGGAAGAATAAAACTCTCTGCAAAATTGGTATTTCAAATCTAGAGAAGAGTTATAGCCAAAACACATGGGAAAGAATGTCAAAAATGTCAAGATACTTCTATCTCACAACTTTCAAGGAAAAAAAAACACAAAACTTGTCAACTTTTCATTTCTAAAGAGCATTTTTCATTTTAGAACTGACTTGAACTCTTGAAAAAAAAAAGGGAGAAGTTTTTCATAGGGAAAAACAATTAAAACTTAAATTAAATACGTTCAGTTGATCTGAAACTAATTTTTCTTTTTCTGATTTTGTTAAACTTCTCTTTTAAGAAGAAAGTATAGTTTATAAATTATAGGTGAAACAAACTGCTTTTTTCTACCTTGATCACCTTATTGGAAAAAAAAAATTCATAGAGCCATCAACTTGGGAAGACATAACTCAAATTATCTTTACAATAAAGTCACTACTACAGAAAGCCAGCAAATATCTGAGTCTGATTGAGTAGAATCCAAATTGCAGTAGTAAGAAAGGAAAATAAACCATAAATAACATAACCAATTGACTGTATCTCAACAGAGGACAGAATTTAACATATTAAATCAGAATTAGCAAAACATACAGATTCCTTTCTGGGTTTGGGTTTGGGTTTTTTTTTTCTTGTTTGATCTTGGCCATTCAGAGTATCCTTTCTATCCCTGGCTAATAATAGGAGTAGGAACTCTGCTCTGGAGTATTCTGTATCTGTCATCACACCTGATGCATTGGGTACAACTTCAAGACTGTACTTCTTTCCTTTTTGGGTCTTGAAGATGAGAAAGCATAATAACAGTGTGGTATAAACCTTCCATTCAGGAAATGGCATCTGTATGATGTCTCAGAAGTGTAAAATGCTTCCCTGAGTACAATCTTATGCACCATTTGCATTCCACAAAATGTCCTTAAAACAAGACTTAAGTAATATTTAAGGAATATGCCTTAAGCCAGCAACTGAAAAGTTGCATTTTATTTTTTCTGAAAATGCCATTTTACCATCAGGTTCAGCTGCCTTGCTGAACTTCCTTTGTATTTTTGTATTTTCTGCTTGTAAAAAGCCCGATACAGTTAGGCTTTAAAATGTTGTGAAGCCTTTTTGCATTGGCATTAATACAAATCACTGTAAATGAAAAAATGTAGCTGTTCATTCATGTTTTGCTGGCTCACTGTGCCAAAAGCCTCCCTCTATCAGGTACAGGAAACTTTGCCAACAGTTGCTCTTCACTGCTATACAGGATTTCTATCTGTTGTTAAGCCACACTCATTTTCCATCTCAATCCATTTAAACTGTGCCCTTTTGTGTATATAACATCTAATTAAGCTATTGAGCTTTTTTTCCATAGTGGATCATTGAGACTAAAAAAAGGTCATCTGGCTATCCCAAATTTGTACATTTGAGCAGAAAATGAAAGATTTATGGTAGCATTATAAAGAACTAGTCATTTTGTGAACAGGAGAACATAAGAAATTTGTTTTCCTGTGGCTTTGTGGATTCTTTAGCATCTAATACTGTTGTTGAGCTAATTTAGTAGGCTTTTCCCCTGGGAAGAGGAAAAACCAGCCAGAAAATCATCAGATCACAGCTTTAAAAATTTGCAGATTCCCAAAGACATCAACAGGGTTTTCAGAAACCTAAGTGCCAAAGTGCTATTGCTATTGTAGGTGATTTTAAAATCCCACTTGGCATCTCTCTAGATCACAGGTCAAAGCAGACCTCTGAAAATGTTTACAGAACTTTAGAAAACTGCTTGCAAAGGTCCCCAGTGATACTGAAACACTAAAGAAAAGAGATTTTCTTAATGGGTAGCTTATTCTATATACTGCTCATGTTTAGGGTGGGGAGGGGTGGCACAGGGGGGCTGGGTTTTGTTGCAGTATTCTCAGAAATATCTATAAATAGGCACAGCAGAAACTTGGCATTTATTCTCAGTTACTTTCCCAAATGGACTGCAGGAATTTCCACAGACAAATCTCCCACTGAAGCCAACAAGGATTTTATCATGAAAGGTCCCAGTCCTGCACTGAAAATTAGTCTCCCACCCAAACACAGATAAAAGAACTTGTCCAATCCTCTTTGCAGCTTTGGAGTTCAAGAAAAGGATGCAAAACAGGTAAATAATGACATAAGGCCAGGCAAAATGTATATTCCTGATGATGCATGATCTGGCAGAACACATTACTTGACCCAGTGACAGTCAGTTATAACCTGTGATTGCACATCAAATATGACTGACATATGGTACCATTTAAAATATATCTGATTGGGCATAATGCATGTCATTTATGACACATCACTACTGTTTCTTGCAGGAGATGGGATTAAATGACTCACCCCAACAAACTTCCTGAGAAACTCCTTGGAAGATTCAATGTCTGTATTGGAGAGCTCAATGTAGTCTCCCATCATGCCCTCTTCTGTGGCTGGCACCTCCTGGTAGAAGTGTTTGGCCCTGGCATAGAACTGCATCTCCCCATTGATAACTTGACTTGTCAAAGCGTAAAGTTTCACTGCAAGCAGATAAATCACTATATTACTGTTAATGAAAGACATTTCTGGTTTAGTTTATTGCTCTGGAGACACAATGGTGAAGATCTATAAACTTAAATTGAGCCTTCAAACCACCAAACCTCTGTTTCTAAAGCAAAGGTGGAAGGAAAGGTGTTGGATTTAATCCTGCAATACCTTGAAGAGACACAGTCCTCCTTGGGCAAATTCCATGCCTCTCAGGCTCAGACATAATTTCTGTCATCACACTATCTTTCATGTCAGTGAAAAATCATCTCAAGTTTGAAGTGAAAATGCAAGCAAGGGGCTTGATTTGCTCCCAGAAAAGCTGTGGATGGCATTTATTGCTCGACAGGGTCATCATTTCTGCTATCACAAACCTAACTGTTGTGCAGATTTCCATATATGCTTTCTAGCCATTGACAGCTGCACGGAGAGCACATCAAGAGAGTGTATGAATGAGGCACTCCCTCTGGTTTATTTTTAGTGATACTGTACAATCTGTGGCACTGCAAGTAAGACGAACCAAAGAGCAGATGGTAGTCTCAGGCCTACATGAGTATAGAGATGGGGAGACCATTCAGAAGAGACAGAACTAAATTTTCATCTGTTAGATCAAGGAGCAAGATAATCAGTTGGTGATACACTGGAAAGTTCCTGTGTGCCAGAGCTTGGATGTTTCTTTTCATTGGTTGTCTATTTTGCTGGTAATATACAGCAATCGTAAGTTTGAAGCTGTTTTATTAAAACCTGCCAGCTTTGCTGGGTAAAAGATTATTATATATTACTCTTTAAAAAACTGATGCCTGTCCACATCCTGGATTTTTCTATACTCCATGTGCATCAGCATATCAAAACCAGTTAGTTTTGCAGTTTAAAAGTCTGGATAGAGGCAGCCCATAAACAGTTTGCTTGGAAACCAGCACCCTTGACTATCCTGTGCACATGCAAGTGTCCAGGCATTTTCCTGTGTGTATGACAGACCTTCCAACAAAAACACAATCACAGGCTTGCTTGTAAAAGCTAAGCAATAAGGAGGGATGGAGTCATACTGGGAACAAGTCTTTGCAAGCACAATCTTGCAGTGTGAGACCAGCTCTGCTGCAGATTCCCACTGTGCTCAAAGAACTGGAAATGATCCAGCAGCAAACACCTTTTGGGTTAATAACAGTAAAAAGGGAGAGCTCCCTACTGGCTGCCTACACAGAAGGACCGGGAAGCAGTACTTTTGTCACTGCACCTTTTAACTTTCACAGGAGCACTGCCGGTTGCTGCTGGGAACAGGCCATGCCTTGCTTACAATGGCTGGGGACAGGAATTATGCCCTCCACAGAGAGGAAGAGAGCTGGGCCAGAGACCCTGAATATAAACCTGGAATGTATTTATTGAGGGCAAGCAAGCTCAGCAGGGAATGATAAGTGTGTGCCTGCCCATCCTCAGCAGGAGAATGACACTTTGGAGGCAAGAGAGGGGAGGACAAAGGAAGTAGGATGGGGAATAATTACCACCAAGGACCACTCGGTACAGAATAGTGCTATTGGGTTACGCATAAGCAGCATGCCTGGCATATCCTTCATCCAACAAAAGCAGCATTACCAGCCCCTCTTGTCATCACCTGCTTAAGTCAACTGCTGAACGGATACTATTAAAGCTTTAATCCATTACACATTTATGTTATGCCTAAAATTTATACCACAAGAAGCACTGAGCCCAGCAAGGGTCAAACCTGGGAGTTTTACACACTCTACTGATTATATTCACGTACTTAGAATAAACCATTTAGTTGGAGAAATTAATACAAAGGGGGCAGCAACCAATCCCCAGCACAACTTGGCTAGGGTGACTCCCAGAGCCTGGGAAAAAGACTCCATCAGTGGCTGTGATTCTTCCAGGACATGATCTCCACCTTCCCCCTGGGAATGGCACCATCTTGTTTTCTCTGTGCCTCTATTCTCTGTTTCAGATGCCAGCCTGTCTGGTGAACAGAACTGAATCACTGCATGTTAGATTTGCTAGATCTTCTATGTAAGAGTCCAGTGATTATTTCTAAGCCTTGTTTAATGGACCAATCAAGGGACAGTGATTTATCCTGTTTTACTGCGTTGAAGGGAAAGACATTTACAGGCTGTCTGCAGGCAGCTGGCAGCATGAACAACAAATAGTCAGAGTCCTTCTACTGAAAACATGAGCCTGACCTGAGGCAACACATGGGGACGATATGCTATTCAGGATATCAGATCTGTAGTGTGTGCTCTCATATTTCTCACTCAGAACTAGTATCAGGGTTGCAGAATTCCTGCCGGGACTTGCGTGCACACACCAGCTGACTGCAGCTCCTCCTGGGCTTGCTGGGGCCCCAGAGCTCTGCCTTACGTGCTGGCATTCAAAACCAGCTCTGGGCTTAGCATCCCAGAGGGTCTTCTCTATGCATCAATCTTTGCCAAGATCTTTTTATGCAAGTCTCCCACCTGAGGGCATGCAAATAATGTAAAGAGTAGCAATGTACCCAACATCTCCTGCGGACCCACAGTCTCACTCGTGCTCCCTCAGGGTTACTCCTCCCTCTAATGAATTTGCAATACTGCCTATCCTCCCAGTTCACAACCCAATTTTCTGGATACAGCCAGTTAACCTCAACTCTGATGTGCCTTGCAGCTGTGCCTGGCTGAATGTAGCAGCAGGACCAGAGAGAGAGGGAGGTTTTCCAGCTTGCAGGAACCTACCCTAAAAGAGAAGTGTGAGGAGGCACATGTCCTTGGTGGCAGTGAGTGTTGCAGCTCTGCTCCATTGTACCTCCCTCTCATCACAGGACCTGTATGGCCTGAGGCATCTCCCTTCCCATGACCCATGTGGGACTACCTCTTGCATCAGGAAATACTTGTAAGGTCTGTTACGGATATACAGTCTGATTTCAGCAAACTTTGGAAAGTAGGGCATAGGCAGGATAGGATGATGGAGACTGCAAGTCTTTCAGACGTTGCAGAGGGCAGCTGTCTTTCACAAAGTTTTCAGTGTTAAGGCAGGTAACTTGTAAGATTTAAGGTTAGAAATGTGTTTTTAGTAAAGCAAGAAGAAACTTTTTCACGGTACACTTGTTCTCAGATGATCTGCTGGCAAGTCCGCCAAGTGGAGATGGCTAAAACAAATGCACTGCAAAAGCAGGCTCAGAACACGAACTGGCTCCCTAAAGGTCACTTCACAGTCATGAGATATTAATTTTAAGTCTCTGCCAACACAGTCAGGATGCAGAGTGGTGATCTATAGCTGAATGCCAACCCCTGGACTAGACAGAGAGTTATCTACCTAAGACCTTTTGCCCTGCAAAGTCCAAAATGTTATCTCTGATATTTTGTAACAGATCTGTTCAAAATTTTGTTTCCCAGTGCATCTGGTCTAAAACTCTAGAGAGACCACTTACTACATGAGGCTGGGTGCAACCCCAACCTGCAGTAAACTGTCTTGGTTGTGCGGTTTACTCAGCTAAATTTCCCTGGCAGAAGTAAATGCTGCAAATAATTTTTTTGGGCTGCAAATAATTTTTTTTGAGTTTTTATTTGTAAACATTATTTTGTGGCTCCAAATACTTTCTGCAAGATACTGAACTAATTTCAGTCTTGATGAGTATTCCCTTTCACATGCAACATCTGCTTTGTGCATTAGTTGAAAAACAGTTATCTGGGTGCAGGGCAGAATTCACCTCTCTGCTGTGGTCCAAGAACCATTTAAATTCTGTTTTATAGAGAATGAACATTAGCTAACCCCCAAAGCAGATATTACTTAAAGGCACGTGCCTCACACATGGGAATATTTATCTCTATGGACCGATCATCTAAGTTTTCCACCACAAATCTCACCCCACTGGCACCAAGTCCCACAGCCCATGTAAACACATGCATAATTTCCAACATCTCAGTAGCTCCATTAAAGTCCACTGGGCCTAATGGTATTCACAAACATTTAAGTACATTATTGGATCAGTGCCTAAAGTTACTCATGTCTTTTATTTATAAATGTTACCCTGGTCTGTAAAAGCGACATGTTTCTCCTAACAGGCTGTGATACCAGATATGCTCAGCACATAAGTAAACATGCCTGATAGTGCTTCACCACTGAGCCTAGCAATGGAATGGGGGAAGTATGGAGCTAGCATAGCTTGAAGCAAGCTTTCTACCTTGCTGGCCCTGGACAGCACTGCAAGTTTCAATGTGAGGCTTGATTTCAGTGCTCTTATTCACATTCAGGGTTAAGCACGCTCTTAACTACCTGACTAGTCACAGTCTTGCTGTTGCTTTGGTTAATGCTGTTTACACAGAGTTATCCAGATGTAGTCCTGAAGCTTGAGAAGTCCAGTTCATTTCTGCTCAGTTCCACTCTGAACTGAACTGGTAAATGTCATTCTGCAGAGATGTTCAGACCTGCCACATTCTGTTCTCTACGTCAGAGAAAGTACTGGTTCACAGTATAATTCAGGTTGGAAGGGATTTAAGGAGGGCTGTAGTCTAAATTCATGCTTAAAGCAGGGACAGACATGAGGTCAGAGGAGGTTCATCAGGACTTTATTCAGTTAGGTGATGGAGAATTGCACAACCCCCCTTGGGCAACTGTTCCAATGCCTGACTGTCCTCATGGGGAAAGAGTTTTTCCTTAGAGCCAGGCTGAACCTCGTTTGTTTCCATTTATGGCCACTGTGTCTTGTCCTCTTGCCTCACGCCACTGTACAGAGCTCAGCTCCATCTTCTTCATGGTCTTGTAGGTATTGGCAGACTGATACTTGGTCTCCCTGAAACTGTCTCTTCTGGCTGAACATGCCCCATTCTATTTCTGTCTCTTCATAAGGCATGTGCTTCAGTTCCCTCACCACCCTGGAGGTCTTTCAACTCGCTCTGTGTCATTTCCTGCATTGGGAGTTCAATTGTACATGCATATGGTCTAATGACTGTTGCATAAAAGGTGATCATTATTACCCTTGATCAACTAGCTATGCTTTTGTTAATACAGCCACCTTTGCTGCCAGGACACACTGCTAGTTCATGTTCAGTTGCTATCTACCAAAGCCCTAATAGTAGGGCTGCTCCCTGGCCAGCCACTGCCCTACTCATGTTCTTGTTGCCAAAGATTCTTCCTTTCCAGGTACAGGACTTGGAATTTATCTTTGAATTTTGGTGAATTAAAATTTCACTAGGTTCCAACTGTCTCTTTCCTCCAGCCTGTTTAGGTGCCTCTGGATGGTAACCCTGACCTAGAATTTGTAGACAAGTCCTGCCAGTTGGCCGCAATATGCCAATGGGATGAGCAAGCAGTCCTTTACCTCCCCCAGGTTATTGATAAAGATGTTAAACAGGACAGGTCGCAGGACAGACTCTTGCAGTATTCTTCTGACCTCAAGATTTGACCATGACTTTATGAGTCTGATCACCCAACAGCATTTTAAACACCTGATTGTCCACCCCTCTAGACCATGACATCCTAGCATGCTGTGAAATTTCTTGCGTGTGTATTCACAGTGTGCAAGCTACTCCACAGTACCTGTCCTTATGAACACTTTTACTTCATGACAATAAGCATGGAGTAACAGACATGCTGTATGCTCACATGAAAGCTGGATTTACAGTATGTTTTCCATTGAGTCAAACTAATTTGGATAAAATGATAATTTGGATAATTTGGTGAGGTACTGGAATGGGCTGCCCAGGTAAGCTGTGAATGCTCCATCCCTGGTGGTACTCAAGTCCAGGCTGGGCAGATCCTTGGGTGATATGGTTTAGTGTGAGGTGTCCCTGTCCATGGCAGGGGGGTGAAACTAGATGATCTTAAGGTCCTTTCCAACCCTAACTATTCTATGATTCTATGATTCTAAGATTGCAACAAGCTTGGAAGCTATTTAGCTAAGTTTTAATGATGTGGGTCATGAAGAGCCTGGCAGAGGGGGGAACTTTAATCTGATAAGACCATTTTACAATGTTTGTTGGCTGGGAATGGAAATTCAATTAAAATTCAGACTACAAAGAAAAAATATATTTTTACAAGAATAAAGCAATTAGGCCTGGAAACAGCTTAATGCTGGACTGATGGATTCTCAGTAATTTGCAGTCCTTAAACCAAGGTATTTTTGCCTTCATAAACATACACTGTGATCCAGTCATACATTATAAGCACATTGCACGAACTTTTACATGAAATTCTAAGCTAGATGTTCATACTGGTACCTTCTAGCTTTAAAATGATCCATTAGTACTTACACTAACAGTTAACACTGTAAGAAATCCTGCTCAGTTTCTAATATGTTGTGTTTATTTTCAAAACAAACAAAAGAATAACATTTTCACAAACTTCTTGAGATTCCATCAACCTATAATTGACTTCCCTTCCTTTCCATCTTTCTTTCCTTTCCATTGTTCACAGCTACCTACCACTAGGGATAGGAGTATTTATCTTCCATGTTTCATTTTAAATAGCTGCAGATATTGCTTCATTTGAAAAACCACATCAAAAACTTAGATAACACAAAAATGTTTTTTTTTTCTTTACAGAACTTATGAATTTTACCTTCCTGAGCAGAGTTCTCACTGGGGTCTGTGTAACTTTAAACAATCAGATAAAACAATCCACTCGCCTAAATAGATCATTCAAATAGGAAGGAGGCCTCAAGAATTCACTGAGAAGAGTAGTTTAACAGGTTCCACTGACATATCCTTTCCATCTTAAATTCCTACAGTTCTAATATTGACTGTAGGCTGAACAATTCTGCTTAAAAAGTGACATGCTAATGTAATACAGACTCAAGTCAAATCTGCATTTTAGCTATATTGTCCTGGGGAAATTTTGTTTCTTATTCAGGACTAAATTTTCATGAGAAATAAACATTCATTTTCTTCATCTAAAAAAAATTGTCTTGGCATCCTGGACCAGAGGCTGTCACTGAAATTCAGCTATAAGCAAACATTTTGGAAGCATTTTCCTTCCAGTTAACAAACAGGAGGTTAGACAGCCTGCTGTGGAAATAAGGATTGCAACAACACCTGAAAAAAAAATTAAATCATTACCTTTCAAGCACTTGTCCAAAACAATGCAAAAGGCAAGGCTAAGGACACACTGAATGATAACAAAATCAGTTATCTGGCAACAGAAAGTAAGGCATGTCAGCTCTGCTAGTTTTGTATTTGTCCTTCCAAGTTCCAAACAGGTCAATGAAAGTTTTAATTAAATGGTCAGAAAAAAAGGAACCATCAGCTAGAAACCCAACTTTATTTCACTCTTGTGGTCTTTCCCTTGCCCTCCTCTAACAATCTGGGGAGTATTTAAGTAAAACAGCAGGGTACTGAATGAGTCAGGGCTGAGAGAGACTACCAAATGGTTTAGCTAGCACTGTCATCTCTCTAGCCAGGCTTCTCAAAACGACTACTGATTGTCATTAATGTGCCTGCACTCTACCATCTAACATTATACACATTTCTAGAGCACAGTCACACACGTACACAGACACTCCTACACACCAGCTACTCACCCAGAGGAAGCTTTTCCAGCAGATAAAGGTAACTCTGAAAGAAGTCATTTTGGATTGCTTTATGCAAGACAAAGGACATACTGTGCCGACAGAGTTCTTCGTCTGTCTTATGCCAGCGCGACTTAAAAGCTAAATGTGCTGCTTTATATGCCATGATGAAGATGTTTTTTGCAAGGGTGGACAGCTGCTGTGGCTGGTGCTCTCTGGAGGACCTGTCTTTCCGAAGAGGCAGAGGCAGCGTTGTTTAAATTGTGGCAGTGTGCTGTCATTCTATATCAGGGTGTGTGTCCAGAGCAGTGCAGGGGGTGGAGGAGGGAGAGAGGGGAGTGAGAAATGCTGGCTGTTGGCACTGGCTCAGAGTAATCTCTGGAGTGTCGCCTTCTGAAACAAGCAGGTGCTGATAGTGATAAAGAACTCAAGCAGGAAATTGCTCAGCCAGGGTAAAAGCATATCTATTCCAAGAAAGTGGCTTTAATTCAATTACACTTTTCCTAATCTATTCAGCCTTCACTTCAAAGGAACTCTGATATTATCCAGGATCTCCCATCTCCTTCTTTTATATCTCACAGGGTGATTTTGTTTCTCTGTCTCTCCCTTGCTATTTGTTTTTCAGTCTGGGGCACTCAAGAGGAAGGCCAGAAGACAGAACATGGACATGCCTCTACATATACACTACCGTATGTCCTAATAAACTGCGATTATAGCAAGCAAAGAGAAAGCAATAGATTCAGTTTCATGCTTTGCCACTGTCTATGGCCAGGGCACACCACTCTATATACCAGGTTCATTTAATCTGTTTAAATGGTACAGACTATCTCATCAGCAAAGGCTAGTTTGAAGAAATTACTGTCTGAGGGCACAGGAACGATAAAGCCAGGGAAGGGTAACAGCTTTTTGCTTCAGCTAATAAAATATACAGAAGAACAAAATGAGGTAAACTGCCCTTAACAAATTTGGACTAACATATTGGCTGGCAAAGAGAAGGCGGTTCAGACCACTACATGAAGGAGGATGTATATCCTAAGTATACCCAATCCCTGAGGATTATCAGGCTCTCAAGGGACAAGGAGAGACAGGTACTGCTTCAAAACCTTTTCTGCCCCTTGGTAGGTCAGGCATTCGGTGTGGTACAACTTCAAGCCTCCTGAATTACAAATGTACCCGGCAAGGGGACGGAGGCTTTGTATCAACTTCACTGACCTCCACACACTGTGCCCATGACAGTATCTGCTTTACAAGCTCTTTATTCCAGCTGTCTGCAGTGTAAGCACACTATAACGCAGCAATGCATGATCAGAAAGTTGGATGTTTCCAAAACAAAAGGGCTGGCATATGTCTTGAGCAGTACTGAAACTCCCAATAAACATCTGATTAAGTTTCTGAGAGCAGAACAAAGATGACCTAGCCTCCACTGAGGAAAATCACTAGTACTTCAGCTACACATGAGGCTAAGCAACATTGAGAAATGCATCAATTAAAGCATATTTTCCAACATCACTCGCTTCCTTGGAGCAGTCAATCTCTTTATCTCTACTTTGATATTACTTATTAAAAGTACTCAGGGGAAAAAAACATTCCTGGGTATTACTGCCTTTTTTGTTTCCCCAACTACCATCCTGTACTACTCATTCTCACCTAACTGCACTGGCACACTGCTTCCCCAGAGGTTCCAATCTACATGACTATGCAAACGTGCTGGTGAACATATCAGTGAATAAATCTTACTCAGAAAAATATACTTATTTTTCTTTCGAGTTGGACCAGTTCCCCAGTCCAGCCCACAGCTGACATAAGGGAATTTTTCATGTGCTACAGTACAGGGGCTGGAACAGCTTCCTGAGATGGCAGTGTGGAGGACGTAGCCATACAGTCACAATACACAGTGGCCTTACCAATAATGCAGACCTCCTCCCTGTCTCCTGTCAGAGAACTGTGCTACAGTGGGTTCCATGAGAGCCAAAAGTAATCTAAGTACTAAAAAATACATTTCTACACTTCCACCCCTCCCTGCTCATGCATTCCCCCTTCTGGGGTCTCTGCAGAGCTATTTCAGCTTGATACATAAGTTGGCTTTTTCTGTCTGGCCAGCAATGTGAACCAGTTCAGCTCAGAGCTTAACAACTGCCAGAGAAGTGCAGGAAAGGAGGCAGAAACGCGAAGTTGAGGATGGGTTGGGGTGAGTGGGATCATGGCAATGGTTAGATCAGTTCTACTGCCAAAGTTTGAGCCCTTCTTTCAACAGAGGGCAATATTCTTCATGCAACCTTAGACATTTCAGCCATCCCTTGAAATAACTTGGTTTCAGATTTCTTCCTGGTTTACCAGAGAAACACCAGGCTCTCTCCAACTAATTTTGCAATATCTGGGCCCATATACAATCCTGGGGTATGTCTTGGTTTTCATAGAATCATAGAATCATTAGGGTTGGAAAGGACCTTAAGATCATCTAGTTCCAACCCCCCTACCTGGGCAGGGACACCTTACGCTAAATCACATTACCCAAGGCCTCGTCCAACCTGGACTTGAACACTGCCAGGGATGGAGCATTCACAACCTCCCTGGGCAACCTATTCCAGTGCCTCACCACCCTAACAGCAAAGAATTTCCTCCTTATATCCAACCTAAACTTCCCCTGTTTAAGTTTTAACCCGTTACCCCTTGTCCTATCACTACAGTCTCTAATGAAGAGTCCCTCTCCAGCATCCCTATAGGCCCCCTTCAGATACTGGAAGGCTGCTATGAGGTCTCCACGCAGCCTTCTCTTCTCCACGCTGAACAGCCCCAACTTTCTCAGCCTATCTTCACACAGGAGGTGCTCCAGTCCCCTGATCATCCTCGTGGCCCTCCTCTGGACTTGTTCCAACAGTTCCATGTCCTTTTTATGTTGAGGACACCAGAACTGCACACAATACTCCAGGTGAGGTCTCACAAGAGCAGAGTAGAGGGGCAGGATCACCTCCTTCGACCTGCTGGTCATGCTCCTTTTGATGCAGCCCAGGATACAGTTGGCTTTCTGGGCTGCGAGCACACACTGCAGCCAGCTCATGTTCATTTTCTCATCAACCAACACCCTCAAGTCCTTCTCTGCAGGGCTGCTCTGAATCTCTTCTCTGCCCAACCTGTAGCTGTGCCTGGGATTGCTCCGACCCAGGTGTAGGACCTTGCACTTGGCATGGTTAAACTTCATGAGGTTGGCATCAGCCCACCTCACAAGCGTGTCAAGGTCCCTCTGGATGGCATTCCTTCCCTCCAGCGTATCAACCGAACCACACAACTTGGTGTCATCGGCAAACTTGCTGAGGGCGCACTCAATCCCACTGTCCATGTCAGTGACAAAGATGTTAAACAAGACCGGTCCCAACACCGATCCCTGAGGGACGCCACTCATTACTAGTTCCAGCCGGACACTGAGCCATTGACCACAACTCTTTGTATGCGGCCATCCAGCCAGTTCTTTATCCACCGAGTGGTCCATCCATCAAATTGATGTCTCTCCAATTTAGAGACAGGGATGTCGTGTGGGACTGTGTCGAATGCTTTACACAAGTCCAGGTAGATGACATCAACTGCTCTACCCCTGTCCATCAGTTCCGTAGCCCCATCATAGAAGGCCACCAAATTGGTCAGGCAGGATTTCCCCTTAGTGAAGCCATGCTGGCTGTCACCAAGCACCTTGTTGATTTTCATGTGCTTTAGCATGCCTTCCAGGAGAATCTGCTCCAAGATTTTGCCAGGCACAGAGGTGAGACTGACTGGTCTGTAATTCCCTTGCTCATCCATTTTCCCCTTCTTGAAAATGGGGGTTATATTTCCCTTTTTCCAGTCATTGGGAACTTCACCTGACTGACATGATTTCTCAAATATGATGGACAGTGGCTTAGCAACTTCATTTGACAGCTCCTTCAGGACCCACGGACTTGTGCACGTTCAGATTTTTAAGATGGTCTCAAACTAGTTCCTCTCCTACAGTGGGCCCAAGGTCTTCATTCTCACAGTCCCTGCATCTCCCTTCCAAGAGTGGTTTGGTCAGAGCCTTTGCCAGTGAAGACCGAGGCAAAGAAGTCATTCAGAACCTCAGCCTTCTCCAAATCCTGTGTAGCCAGTTCTCCCGAGAGCTTCCTGAGGGGGCCTACGTTCTCCCTAGTCTGTTTTTTATTTGCTATGTACCTGTAGAATCCCTTCCTGTTATCTTTAATACCTCTAGCCAAGTTTAATTCTTATTATTTCTCACAAATCTGGCCCTTTCTCTTTGCTTATCTATTTTCAGCCACTTGCCAGTTAGTGCACCAGGAACAGATGCATCAAGACAGCAAGTTAATGCTTTGGAAAGACATTGCACAAGCTCACTTTGCCACCAACAAAAGATACCCCTAGGAACCCAGAGCCCACCTGTTCTGCATTTGTCACCACATTTCAATTTGTCATGGCTGTAGTTTTGGCAATGCCCATTGTATAGCAAAGTGACCTCTGCTTAGAGGTAGCAGTGACTCCAAGGATGAAACCTAAGCCCTGATGTGTCCTAGTGGAGTCAAATGCTGGGACAGCACTGTGAAGGGTGCTGGGACCACAGCTCCAGGGCTCCCCATAGCTTTGATACTCATGAGATCCACAAGGGCTGGGTTTCTACATTCAATGGGAGGATGTGCAAAAGCAGAAAAGAACACTGTTTCTCCAGCCTTCTGTGCACAAAGTGGAGCTTAACTCTCTTTGAAGTTGTGCATTTGGGTTCCCCAGTGCTTACAAAATGCCTGAGTTACTGTGACTCTAGTGAAGCTCTCTCAATTTACATCCTCTGAGAATCTGGCCAATTACAATTAATACATACACATGGGAAGCCAAGCATATTTCAGAGTCACTCCCTATCATTTTAATGCCCTGCTAGTGATTTCATAACATACTCTTAGCCCACTTTCCTTAGGAAAAAAGATAAGTGCAGTCATTTTGTGTATGTCTCTGTCTATGACAGGTTTCATCCTGGTGTCACTCAGCAGTTTTGCTCTTCTGAAACCCCATAAAACTCATGAGGATAGACAGGCATGGGTACATATGCAGTTGTCTTTCCAAGGTACCATTCCCAACCATCCAACACAAATGTGTCAGAAACAACAGTCCACAGGATTAGTTTTTCAGGCTCTCTGATATCTTAGTGGTGGTTTTGACTCAGTAGTCCTGCCCCACGAAAAAAGGGTGAAGATCTACAGAAGGCATCATAATTCTATTTATTCTATTTGCACATGATCAAGACTGTGTCCCTCTTCCAAATAGCTCTATAGCCTAAAAGTTAGTGTGAACACACACTCAGGCCTCAGATACTAG